CAGGCTCTATGTTACAATATTCGGAGAGCCACCTCGAGTACTAAAGCATAGCATAACAGCTTCTCAGAATCCAGAATACGAAAGCTCTACGCGACATGAGAAACGGCATTCAAAAACAATCTTTAAAGGCAAATGAGCCACGAGAATTTTGCGTGTGTCTCATAACCAACTATCAGGATAGCACAGCGTAGTGGTCGTGTTGTTAAAACGTAACCAACGGCGAAAGTTAGTGAAAATGACTGATCATACAGCGATTGTGCCATGTACAACCCACCGAACGGGTTCGTATATGGCTGCGTGAAACAATATGTGTTATATGCTCGCCTTTATGTGTTTAAAGGTCGATCCCTATTTGTTCCTACTGTGTCATACGGCGAGTCGTTGTTACCGTCCTCTCTTAGGTCCTCAAAGGGCGAGTCCTATTGGTCTAGAGGCTCATTTAGGATCTTTTTCAACGTGATCAGTACTGAGGTCACAGCCGAACTTGGTAGATGTTTACTTGCTGAGGTTACTCGCTTCTGTACAAGTTATTAAGTGAAAATATTACGATGCGCAACTTAAACTACGGGAACACCCATCTTCGTTATTATAGCATTATAATAGTTGGCCAATACAAAATGATCATTGTAGCTGTGAACAGTTTATTAGTTACCATCGCTTGACTGATATTGCCCAAACGGGCTAGGACTATGAACGCGTTGGTTAGGGGATCGCCAAAAACTTAGTCTCAGATGCTCGTCGTTTGCTAATATTTTAGATTACCCTTATCTAGTTTTTACAAAGTAGTAGCAAAAAAAGCCAAAAACAATAACTGTTTGCTCGAATGACGATAACAACAATAACAGCAATAAAATGATCACAGAAGAAATCTCCTTTCAGCGCTTATTCGCTGTCAAGAAAGCGTAATGATGGCAGCGGAATGAGTTGTCAGCCTCTCATGGAAACAAACCGTACCTTGGATATGAGCGTCTGAGGAGTGTGCTTCTCCCACAGTTACGTCAATTTTTTCTCGGCGTCGACTTTGACTTTAACGCCAGAAGCAGTCCTATGAAATTCTTGGCTTTATCTTAGGATACCATGCGGTTTACCGCTAACTGGTAATTCGGTGAGGAATCAGTAGTCCCCGTCTGACGAACGTTTTTCTGATGGGTCAACAAAAAGACAAGAGCAGGTAGGCACTAATAACGAAACGGAGGACTTAGTCTACAGCACTGATCAAAATAAAAGATCATGGGTTATTCCGGTTACATTATTTCCTGGTTTGTAGAAATTATTACCTTTTTATCCGACTAGCTTCACGTGCCTTCGGGGATCGCGCTGAGTGAGCTGTTCTCGATTTCACGGTAGGCTTTGCCTTTGATAAATTTCCATAAGTAGGCCTCAGATTGCAATAGATAAAAGGCTCCATCTATTTTTTCGTATACATATCTATTCAACGGCATATACACACTGCACATTTTGTACACATAAAAAAATCTATATATTTATATAAGGTTCAGCTAAAAAGTTAGTAGGTTTTCTATGTAGTACACGTGAAATTAATTAGCCACATTCTAAACAAGTACTCACCTAGAAACGATGTTCCTAGAGCCCCTTTACCTGTTTAGAATGAAACTTAATTTATAGATAATATTATGCTTCGTTCCGATATCCTCTTAGTACAAAAATTATGCAACGCCATTAATATAAGATTTTACTAGATGCAAGGTAACAAAACCACTAGAATTCAATTGTAAAAGCTATGATCCGCTCCTTTTTCAATCATTTACTAGTCAATTGCATTTGATCTATCCCGAGGAGCAGAGCTTCGTCAATTCGAACAAACACTTAGGTTTACCCTAGTAAACTAAACTTCACCCTGCGAGTCTGAAAATAAAGAGCCAACAATCGGTTTGATCGTCAGTTACATTTGTTATTGGTCAGCGTCGTCTTTTTCTTCTTATTGTCTTTTCTTTGTGATGATTTTAGTTCTTGCTACTGTCGACGTCCATGTCCTTCAGATGAAATATCTGTCTTTCATTCATCCTTCAGATGAAGCCTTTCATATTAAGCACCGATTTTCCCTATAGTTTTTCCCTTTTTTCGCCTGGAAGGCCTATAAGCTTGCTCGTCTTCTAAACGGGTTGCATGCTGTGGCTGAAACTGTATCTGGGTCATAGGTGACGATGAACTGCAATATGCATACAACATACGTAGCAGAAATATGAGATACTTACTGGACGTATTATATGCAGCTATGAGTTCTCCATTGTTATTAATTTCAGTAAGGTTACTAGATGATATCATGGCAATGACCACATGTCCATTGTAGTTGTGTATGTATGGGACTATTTTTACATGGCTACATTAAAGTCCAACTCCTACTACATGCACGGGTTCCAACACGCAAAACAGCGAGCACTCACAACGACCGCTACTGCTCTTTGTGTCATAGTCTGATCTTCCTCCATCCATGTGCTATGTCCTAGGCCAAACGACGCGACATTAGGTCACCAGTCTCGTTGCTAACCACCGAACCTCTTTCACAGCCTTAATTTTGAAGCCTATATTTAGGCTTTTATTTGCTTTGTTCTTTGAGCGTCTTCTGCACGCGGCTTTGCCGTATCGCGTTGTATCATGGATCGAGAAACGCTGTTGTTCGTCTGTATCGTTGTGTAACAGCGTGTCCTCAACAAGCCGTACTCTCTATAATTCCGTTTACATTAGTCTATCGGAAGGTTGCCATTTCTCATACTTGCCTGCTCTCGTGTATAAGAGGATCATAAGCTCGTCCAGGAAGCTGTCCGCGAGCTTTTGGGAAGGGCATCGTGAGATCGAGGGTTTGCCGACAGTTGCACGACAGAGAAGAATAGCGACGTTACGTATCGTGCACTGGTCGCAAGACAGCTATGTTATAGTCAAATATGTACACATCCCCAAAGAACCTTCCTTTCGATGCTAGTTTTGCAGATCCTAGACTCCGACAAGACATTATTGTGTGAAATATTGGTAATGGTAAAGATATCGGTAAATGACGAGGGTGGCCTGGAGACAGAGACACTGTTGAACCGTTATAAACCTTACTGGCGTTCCTGCTAACTGTATGGCTAGATAGCTAGTGATGCGACCCTCACTTTGTTTGTTTGTTCGCTCGTTCGTGTGACCCAAAGGTCATCAGAAAAATGGCTTTTGCCCCTTTCTTTGCTTGTACATGGGCGAGAACTACCGCCTTGCACGGCACTGTTATTGCTGGTCACCCGATCTCTGACGTGAAGGTCAGCCCCTAATAATGACAACAAACAAGCTGACAGGTTCTTTTTTAGCCTTGGTTATCGCTTGTCTTCACCTTTTCTGGCTTCGGTTCTACGAAAAGCGAAGTTAGCCATCGAATTCGTCTAGGGAACAGGAGACTGTGATAAGGATAGATCAAAAAAGTTCAAGGATTTTTTCGCCATGATAACGCTATTGTATGGAATGGAACATTTGGATAACGTTCCTATTTTGGGAAGTTCAGTAGGTGTCAGTAGGATTAGTTATTAACAAGGACAACGGTGTATATGACGTATGTTTTATGAAACATTCTCTATTGCAGCTGTCGCTTGTACTGTATGCGAGCATTGTCGTTATTGCCTGATCGAAACCTTCTAATGACACCTTAAAAGGAGTTCTGAAACTTACGTAGTTACGCTATATTATAGAAACATATTACGCTATATTGTGTATTATAATGGTTCCGAAAAGTGTAAAGCCCTGGTTTAGAGCGCATCCCTAACATTGTTTCTCTCACTACTACTGCTTGTGACTATCACTAAGCATTAGATGTGCTTGCGTATCAGACGGGGGTCCTTCAGTTAACCGCGTACGATAGCAGAGCCTGTGCCCAGTGAGACAAGAGGCCATCTCCTGACATGGGTCCAAAACCACAAATGGGGACGGCATATTTACGACATAAACAGCGATGCATCCCCGACCCGTATATACGAGTACGATAGGCACCCTGCCATATCCAGTGCATAATACAGTAAATAGAAACTGTCCTAATCGTACGTTTGAACGTTAGTTGATAAAGAAGACAGGTCGCTATCAAAAAAAAAAAATGACAGAACTATATGAACAAATAAACCATATCAGTGCCGTTTATCGATAGCAGAAACTTATTATTCGTGAGGTCGACGCCAGCAGCGGCAACTGTAATTGTATTCTATATATTCAGCAGCTGCGTGAGGCCATATGCTTTATTTCCCAAAAGCGACGGTTGGTTATGTGTTTTTCTGATGGCCAGTTTACCCAATTAAGTATTTTATCCGCACAGAATTTCAATACATTTTTCATCACTGGCTCGAAAGAGCGTTGAATATCATCGGTGCGTTTGTGTATCTATCTGTGCTCGTTCCTTTGAGCGTATCGTGGTTGAAGTGTCGCAAAGTGAAGTCGCAAACGGGCTGTGCTTCTATAAAGGATACTTGAAATCACGCCCACACATTGGTAATGGTAGGCGGCAAGCCTTTTAGAGTAGTTCAGACAATGATTTTTGTTCCATTGTCGTAGCAACCATATTTGCATAACGAAGACGAAATGACTGCAGAATACGTGGCACCACTTTGATAGCTAGCCGACCCATGCGCAAACATCATGAAAACCATAGACGGATTGTACTCTTCCAACTCAACCGTTTGCGTAGAAAAGTATATAGATTTTGAGGGACCAGTAGATTCAGAGGTCTGTGGCTAGAAACTATTAATAGAAAAGAGGATTGGGCCGAATCGATAAAAGCCATTCGTCTGTACACACGCGTAGTCAGTTACTTGTCGTTTAAAGCTGTTTTTAGATCGCTAGAAATAAATAAGTCAGACTAGCTGATCGCACTCTTTTTAACCAATTTATTTTATTATTATATTTGACACTTCTAATACCCTTATGGGGTCGTCTTTTACCCTTATCCACCGTTTGATCCAGTCTCCTATGCGTAAACATGCTACTATTCGCCTTTTCTTCCATATCTCGTTCTTGGTCACACTTACCCATACGGCTCGATGACTGTTTTCTCCTTAATAACAATGGCGGGTCAAAAGCTGACAATATCGCTGATCGGCTTTAGATAAATCCATTTGGTTCACGGTGGCACGTTCGGTATCGGTGACGGTAAATTCTACATAACGACACCAACAGGTTATGTTTTAACTCGCGTACATCATTTCGAAACTTGCGGCAACAAGCCAAAACGTAATACCTTTCCATCGATCAGGCCGATCACCCAGAACAAATCCTTCACATCTCGCGTTCACGTAAAGCTTCCGCTATAAAGTCCACGATTGAAGTGCTACTCTTCGCTTGCATTTCGAGATGAGCTTCACATACCACCTCTACTTGGTTAGCACATGTTTGATTTTTGATCACCAGGACTATCAACCCTTTCTACTAGCAAAACAGGCCCTGCAGTTACAAAGTAGACTCCAGCGAAACTGACTACATCCTTAACGGCTGCTCTATCCCAAAGAGGACCAACTAAACTGCGTTGATAGTGAATTGTCGGACAAACGGAGCTTCCGAAGAATTACTGTAGGAGAGAAGTTGCTCTCTGGATATATCTATCCATCGAAAACGATAGAAAAAACGGGAACAACGTACACCAACCATTGCTACTTTTGTAAGCCATATACATGGCGATGGAGATGTTCATATAATGACCATATGGGTAGGATAACTGCAAGGCCCGATAAAGAGCAGCTTTATGACAAGTCTCATTAATATCGACATGGTTGTAAGCTGCAGGCCGCTACATAGGGTTTCACAGGCGATAATTAAACAGTTAAAGCCCGCAGGAGCTCTATCAGAATGACACTGAAAAGAACAGTAAGAACGTTCAGGCCGAGCTTCAAATCAGCTAAATAGATAGAAGACATTTATACATCAATGTGGTCTGATGCGGAATTCGGAAATCGCTAGCGATTGGGTTTCACCTAAAACAGACCTTTACGGTTTTCGACGATTAGTCCTGTCAGCTGGGTCGATTTGATAAGTAGGACTATCACTGACTGTCTTTGTTTCTCTTCGTGTAGTAACCCTCTCAATAACCCCTTTCTTCTTACCGTTACCATCCAACTGTCTACATATCAACGAACGATTGGTGCAGTTTTGTCGACGCTGGGTTACTAGGCCTGTTTACTATTGCAGATGGTGGCGTCGGCGGCCCAGCCCAGAGCCGATTCTCAGTGTTACTCAGCACTTATGGGGCGGCTTTTCCTTTACTGTCTAATCGCGAACCAGGTTTCGTCAAAACAGGTCGTACACTATACAGAAAATATCTTGAAACAAGACAAACAATAGAAGAGGAAACAGCTTTAACCAAATTGCTAGCAATTGACTGTACCAAAGGATCCCGCTCAGCTCTCTTGATCGGCAGACCGAATGACTTCCGCACTAATTTCATCTGTCATAAGTAAAGCAAATAAACATATGGATCTGCCTCGACTGAAGCACGTATTGCTGTGTACGCCGTATCCGTTCGATAGGTAGAACTTCTGCGAGTGTCAGTCTCAAAAAGAACACCTGCTCAGTTTCTTAACTTTGCTTCTACACGTCCCGTAGCGTTCACAATGGGATGAGGCCTCGCCAAGGCATGGGTTTCCTTCAATTTGTCAACTTCGTGCTCTTCACAGGCTGACCAAACACCTGATCCGACAAACGACGCAAATTTAAACACCCGCCACTTCGACGTACGTATTCACCAATGTTTCCGACAAGTATCGTTATTGACCGGTCATCTTAAGCTGCAGCAAATCTGTCCAAAAACATCTGTATAGTCTAGTAAAGTTGTCTCTAGCGTTCCATAGCGTTCACCCCCATGACAAATTCGTTCAAGCATAATATTTGAATCGTTACGATATTACCAATCTCGTTGCCCGTCGTTGTCGAGACGAAGAAAACCAAGCCGATAACAACAACAACCGCAACAACGAAAACAACAACCTGCAGTTGTTTCTCGATAGTTGTCCGTTGTATTCTTAAGACTGTTGTGACCAGAAGCAGAAGTAGTGGCCGTTCGTGCCTGTCGTCGTGCCCTTACTAACGTTTATCGAGCTGAATCGACGAGTTCGAGAAGGGGAAACGAATCATCGCTTGATTAGTGTGTAGGGCACACGTTCGTCGCCTCACATAGACTTGTTCGTACGCTTGTACGTTTTGTTCACTTGATGTCTAATAACTTCCTCTGTTACTAGAGCTTTCTCCTTGCTTGCGGCTTCTGCAGACTAAGTATAATGGGTGCGGTGTACAAGATGAACGGCAATACGCTGACGTAACATATCTAAAGGCCAGCTATCGCAGACAATGCACATGCGCCGACAACTAGCCCCTGTGGGGGATTAAGCAGTGTCAGGCGGGATTTACAAAAGACGAGACGGATTACACAAGGGTAATAATTTTCCCTAAAGACTCTAAAGGAACGGCGTTCATCATGTGAGGCTCGTTGGACTTATTGATAGCTTATGCTGAAAGGCGACGCTGCTCAACTTTACTCGGTATTCATCAAATATAATTTTTTCAGAGCTACGGCACAAATCTACTACCTATTCGACTCATACTAGAACCGATCTATAAATATAGTATGGCATGCGTGTAGTAAGGATTTTATTTTTATTGAGCAGTATAAGGAATCTGCTAATCATGTAAGTGAGTGGTAGCCCTGTCTGCGTACAGTCAGGGAAGTGGACTTCAATATTCTCACGAACTCAGTCAAAACAAAGGCCTCAATCAGTAGCAACCCATCTCTCAGTGAGCTCAAGCAGATCTAGTTGTTGACTCGCGGGTCGAGCGATGAACACTGGCGGTTCAACGGTACTCGCAGTTACACGATCGTCTAGACTATAGATTGAGGGAGTCTGTGCGAAGGCGTTAAGCCTCGCCTTCGTACAGACAGCACGGACGATTTCAGACCTAACAAACAAATACCTAGGAGATAGGGCGAGGCAGAAAGACACATCTGTATTCGGAGTCGCCATCGTGCGAAGAACTTTTGTCTGAATAGCAACTGTACCGGTAGGCACAAGTAAGAACGCGCTACCCGCTCTATTCTAGCATAGACTAAACACCTTAATGACCTCTTTACCAAAACTGCACATAAACGTTTGGACCAGTTGTATTCATCTCAATAAAGGATCCTGGATCGCGCAGATGCACCATCGCGTTTCGATGCACATCTGATCCAGCACAAACACATATGTACATGCACTCGGACTCTGGGCTGGGTGAACATGCAACCATTTTCAGCATCAAAAGAGCCACGAAGACCAAGCTGTGAGCGGTCATGTCGCAGACCAAATCCACAAACGCATATCTTCGATAGTCATTTGAGAGAAACAACTTTCCTGTGCACATGCATCTTGACATGCACACGTCTGGATTGTACATTAACACTAGTCTACCGTATGAGCGGAATAGCAAGTCCAACCAGCTTAACTGGTTCGAGCTCTTGCTATTGACTCTGGCCGTCGCCTATGCCCAGAAACTGCTTGATGCTTGCTACACTCCATCTACAGTAGCTTCTACAATGTAGTAGCGGCACCAGACGATCGAGTAACAGCTGCCCCGACCCACTGATTGAGATGCAAGCGCTCGGTGTCTAGATTTATCTTTTACAGTAACCATGTGGTATACTTTCGAGTATGAAAAGCCGAGACGATTACACTCCTGCTACTTGGAGGCAACAAAAGCACACAACCGTATCTGTCATCGAAACCATGCGAATGGTTGCCACGAAACGAGATGCATTCGTGGAATTGGTCGCATGTTCTTATACCTATTTTTGGATGAGTCCGCAGCAGAGGCGTGTTCTCAATCTATTTCATTGGCTCCAGGGGAAAATCGCGCGTTACCCAGTGTCAAACACTTCGAGATTAACCGAGATTTGATCAATATAAAAACAAAAGCAAGAGCTTTCGTAAAGGTGAATTTCGCTTACGTTGTGAGGCGGTCGGCCTTGAACTGGCAAAGGAGCCAATGAAAAACAAATTCAGCCTGATCAAACGGGTATTAAAAAGAATTTTTTTCAACCTCTGAGGCGATGACTAAGCACTTGCCTTGCACCTTGACTGCGTTAGAAAAAGAATGTAACGAACATCAGTTTAATTTTCGACATGGCTTTTTTTTTTTTTTTTTTTTTTTTTTTGTATAAAATAACAACTATGAAAGCGAAATAAGTGACAACTACGCTTCTAAATGCCCCCTGACAGCACGCCCAGGGGTAAAGGAAGATTAGCTGTTTCAAGCTCTACCGCATCATTCGATCTGTTATTGAATAGGCATTTATATACGTATCGATTATTTTGTGTATAGTTTTTCAAAGTGTTTACTTATTTCATATGCTATCAGATATGATTGTGTCTGTATTATTTGTATAAACACGTACAGGTGACGAGGTGTTAGGATCCGCAGGTCGGCAACACTGGCCCAAATTGGTATTCAGAATAGGTAACTTCACGAAATTTGTAGATTTTTTTTTGTCTTATTGGGTTTGTGGTATCCTTACGTTTTGCAGATTAGGTGATAAAGTTCACATAGAGCGAACTGTCTATTACAATCTGGCGATAACTTCCGTTCGTTCGCTTCAACCTGCCACCGACCTAAGTCAAGTTTAATAAAGATGAGGATATATTTCGGCTAGCTTTGATTTCTGTGTTTGTGTCATATACATATTCAGTTTTTGGAAAGCAGCGTCTCTCGCAGATCTTCTATGGGCAATGGAGTATCGGTCAATAAAGCGAATTGTTGCGGACAGGCCTAGCACCAGTTTTAAGAATGCCGCCCTTATTCTGCCCAAAGTCAAGTTTGTCGAGGCATGTCTTGTCTGCAAATTGAAAAATACCTACTAGCTCCGAAACGCTTCCAATTTGACTCAACTTCTAAATCCTCTATTAGGTATCACATGCAGGTTTTGACACAGACATACAAACAAATACACATGTACATCTGTACATATTAAGTAGATTTCATCGTAGAAAGCATCATTCCCAGAAAATGAAAAGCTAATGCCATGTTGAACAGAGAGGGTATCGCTTACGGACATACACCGATTGCTCTGTCTGTACAAAAGTAACAACAGCAGCAGCAGCTGCTGCTGGTGCAGCAAAAACAACATCGGTAAATCGTCGTAAATAAAATCTACAGAGGTTCGCATCATCAAATAAATTCGTGCTATCTTCCTTCGACCTGATGGCTCTTCGCACTTCCTGTTTATTTTTATGTATATTTCGCAGCCGCTAGCCATGACTTTAGCCGGACCTTTGTCTTCTTTAGAAACGGCCCAATTTCTGTTATGATCGGCCTTTCGTCGACGTATTTGTACCTATTTTCCCTAAACATAGGGCATTTACGAGTACATTGACTCCACATGGCGCCAAAAAGTACGCCGCAAGGTGCCCTCATGCCTATAGTGCCTCCCGCTGTCGCTAGCTCCGACGGAACGGCGTTTACTATTTGACACGAGGATATGATTCTGACGAAAAGAAAGGCGGCGGTATTCGCGAGGCAGATACGGCGAAGCAAGTAAAGGTAACGATATATTGATCGTATGCACTTAGTTTTAAAGAGGTATCTTTAAGGAGATTTACTACGCCTATGGTAACAACTGCAAGCCGTGAGCTAGCATTAGGACAAGAGCGACGTTACAATGCCATTAATTTTCTCCATTTGCGTCTCTCGCATTTTTGTAGCTCTTGTGATTCTCGCTAAATGCACACAATCGGCACGTATTAGGGTAAATCAGAATAAATGTGGACGAAGGGTGTTTGATCGGCATTAAAGGCCCGTTTTTCTGCGGTCGATTCTGTTGACTTAGCGAACTTCGAACTTCGACCACTTCGTGAACCCTTCTTTTCTTCAACGTTAAACAGTCTTATAGCCTCAGTTCTACCGGGTCAGAAGCACGACTTCGGCCTCGCCTCGTCTAGTTAAAGTTGTCCGAAGATTACTAAAGCGTCGCTATTAATCTCTGAAATTAAAGGAGGATATTCGCTAAGAATCTTACCACAGTATCCAATAGCAGCAGTACCACGAAGTTGCATGGAACTCTCTTCTTACCCGGCTTCATTTCACAAATTAGCGTTTCTTGACAAATTTGCCTTTTACCCCTATTTTACTTTTTCTTGCTGTCAATCCATATCCTTTCATCAGTCGTGTTCTTGCCTCCAGAAGAATGATTATCATAATAATAACTACAACCTTACAATGGCAAATATATGTACAAAGCAGAAAATTACAGGCTACTGAAACGCCGCTCCGATAGGGTCTTCTACAGGAGTTCGTTTGTTGACGTTGCCACCGATTTTCACGATGTCTATGGACGTCTCCCATAGAAAGGATGTTGTCGGGCTGCGTATAGCTTCGTGTTTAGAGTCCACTCACGTCTACAGTCAGCAACGTTTGCGTGTGAGCCGGTACAAAACAATTCGTACACACGGTTTTTCAATAGCTTAAACCAACCCCGCTAACGCGAAATTTACGGCAAAAACTACGACACTATCATAGCGATGGTGGTGCGGACAACAACGATGAAGTGCAGGCAATGACTTCACATACTAGACGAGATTGAACGATCTACTGAGGGACGATTAGTCATGGAACGCCGACTGAAGAACTGTAAAGACCTACATTATGCGATGCCTGCTTCGATAACTTTCAATGCCCTAACCTTGACGTGCAATGTCTATTTCTGTCCCCTTTTCGCTTGCCTTCCGTTTCTTTCACACCAGCGTGTTGCCCCTGATGTTGACCCGTTGATAAAGAGGAATGGACATTTATTTATTTAATAAATCAAAAGTTGCAGATTAGATAGATCCAGACAATATTCTAGCCACAAAAGCCACCTGCCACGTAAGACACCTCTCGTTCGATTTCCGTGAAAACGTATTTGCGTGTAGAGAGTATAGCAGACGCTGGCACAGGGTAAGGCAGGGAATGTTCTCAATAACAGATAATGGCACTATGACGCACAGCGGTACATTTCCACCATAAGGTCGTATGCACCGCCGCCGTTTATCTAAAACCTGCCGAAAGTCTCTGTCCCTGTTGAAGTCGTCTGACAGTATCGAAGTTGTCGTCTTGTTCGAAATGAAGTTGTCGGCCTTTGGGCGTAAAGACGAAGTGCCGTGAAGCTGTATTGCGCGGTTT